CCCGGCCTGGCGGCTCCGAGCGGGTTTTATTCCGTGTCCAGCCCGAATCCACGTCCCCGTGCGGGGCTGCGGGGGGCAGGGCCGGGCGGTGGGGCCCGTCCCGGGCTCTGCCTGTGGGGACAGGGAGGGTGAGGAGGCCCTGAGGGACCTGAGCTCTCCAGGCCCTGCGCCCTCCGTGCTGCTCTTGTTCCTCACACGCGGGTGTTCAGGAAGCAGAACCTCCTCGGTCACCAGGCCCCGCCGTCCTGGAGCCCAGGGCACGTCATTGGTGCTGCAGGTAAAGCCCAGGGCAGCTCCCTGCATCCCTGGAACGGCCTTGGGGCAGCAGCGAGGCTCACACAGACAGGCAGGAGACAGCCTGGCCTTGGGGTTCTTTGCTCTTTAATTCCCTCTCTTGGGATCCGTGTCAGAAGGGCAGCCAGGAGGCAGTCGTTTGGTGAAGCTGCTTTGGCCTTATCAGCTTTATTGCTGCAAATATCAGCACCTCAGTGCACGTGTGTGTGCTGTCCTGCCCGGGATGGTGTGTGAAAACATCTGTTAATTGCCAGCAACACACAGGCTGCTGCTGAGTTCCTTCCTTGCTGAGGAAATGATGTTGCTGATTGGCTTGTGTTTACATTTCTCGTGATTAAAAATCTAAATTCCCAAGATTTTAGGGAATTTAGAAGTTGTCAGCCAAGGGTCCATCCACCTGGGCAGGCCAGGGGGCACACTGTGTCATTTTCTTAGGAGGAAAGACATCTTTGTTCTTGCTGTTTATCCAAGAAAGCATCTTGGAGTTCTTGGCTCTGTTGCTCAGGAGAGGGACAAGCAGGTAACTGTGAGGCTGCCCTTGTCCATCACCAGGTGCCATCACCTCCTGGACAGCTTCCACCCACAGCAAGTCTGTCACTTGAATAACCACAGGAGGAATGGCTGTTGTTCTGGAGATGGGTTGGGTCAGTGTCTTGGAAGTCTGTGCCCAGCATAGTGACAGTCTCTGGTGTTTCCATTTCAACCACATGAAAAAGGCTTCAAACACAGCAGCAAACTCAGTAACAAACCTCATCACTATTTCCCCCCCATCCCTTTTTTTTGGAGTAATTTCAAAAGACTTCCTGTTTTTCCTGTTTGTTTTATCAGGAAGGTTAGAAGAAGAGATACTGACTGATTAGTGATTCCAGCAGAGGGGTGCAGATTAAAAATGTCAAAAATTACTACAGAACTTCTTTTGGAAAGAGCTGTTCCAAGATCCACGAGGCTCCGGAAGATCGAGACACTGAAGTAAGTGCAGACAGACCCGTGGAAAATTCCAGCTCAATTCAACCTCCTGGGCCATCCTTTTTATTTTTTGTCCTTCCCTTCCCCTTTTTTAGCATTTTTACTGGAGAAAAACAAAAAAAGGCAGTTACAAAGCACAGGATGGGAGATGGGTTTCCAGCAGCTCCCACCTCTTCGCATGATGTCCATTGTGTGTTGTTGCCACCTCCTTTCTGGCAAACTGCTTAAGGCTGATTTCCTAATGCTAAGATATGCTCCCTCACCCCAAAACACTTCTCTCTTTGCTAGTGGCTCCTTAATGTGAATAAGAGAATCTCTTCTGGCCTGGATTTTAGAGGGTTTGGAAAATATTTCTGGCATTATTTCCCCTCCTTTTCCCTCTCCCTCCATTAATTTCCATTATCTCTAAATCCATTTATGTTAGTAGAGGGAGAATTAAACTCTGACACACTTAGAACCCACTCAAAACAAATTAGTTCCTCAGATGCTTAACAGAGGTCACTGAAAATATGTGTCTTTCCACATGTTTAATACAGTGGAATTTCACTGTTCCAGAACTGGTCAATCCGAGTGACTCAGCTGGCCGGTTTCTGCCTGGTGCCTTTGTTGGTTTTGTTCCTTATTTAAGTGGTTTTTATTTCATATGTACTTCATTTAAAGTTATTTCTTTTCATTTGTCTTGTGCTGAAATCATTGCTTTTAGAAGGAAACTGAAAAGTTTACCCAAAGGGGACAGAGCTGGGTAACAAAGAGGTGTTGGAAGGAGGCAGTTTGTAGGGTGTGTCTTTTTCCACAAAGCTTCCTACTGTGGTTTGAAGGGTTATGTTTCAGAGAATCCATTTGGCAAAATCTGCTGAGTTTCTCCCCAAAAATGACACAGCAGTGATGCTCAGCTTTGCAGCCAGCTGAATTCTCTGCAGCCTTTCTTATTTCTTCAAACTGACTGGTTGGGGTTTCTGAGGTGACAAGGGGAGAAGAAGTGGTCTTGCTTCCCAGTTTTCTTTACAGTATTGATTCACACTTAATTTATATTTAGAAGGTTGGGGTTTTTTGCTCATCATTAGAGATGGAGATTCTGTTCATTAATGGAACTCAGGATCATGTCCTCAAGAGTTGTTGGCTGTCAGGACTAGAAGCTCCCTTTGGAGCTTCAAATTATCTCATCAGATCTAAATGACCTTTCTTATAATAAGAAGTGTTCTCTGTCTTACAGAGAAGGGGACTTCTCTTCCCCTCACAAATACTGCACCCCTTTCTCTTTCAGGACAAAATGCTTTTCTTCTTGGACTTTTCTTAGGTAGATTCTATCTTTGCCATTGAAGTTTCTTGCAGAAAAAATTTCCCTGTAAAAGAAACTGATAAATGGCTTTTTGGTGAAGTTATTTTTTTGAAAACAGCCAAATGATTTGGGCTCCTACCCTGCACTTGGCCTGAACTTCTCATGCAGAGAAGAAAAATTTGGAGCCAGATGAGCAAACTGATCCGATTTACTACTTCCTTGTGTGAGTAGAAACCTCAGCATGAGGGGGGGAGGGGGCAGGACTAACCTTTTGGAGTCACCTTTCTCTTACATTGCTTTTACCAGCTGAGAGATGGGTGATGTCTAAAAAAAAATGAGTGAAATAACCAATCTGGTGCATTTTGTGGGCAGGGTGGGCAGGTGGTGTCTTGTGTTGCCACAGCCCCTTTTGTTGAATTGACATTGCAAAGGAATAAAATACCAACATTCTTAGGGAGGGACTTTTTCTGGTGATTTCCTGTCCTCAGCCAGTTTGGTTACCTGTTTATCTGGACTGCAGGACAATTGTACTGCAAATGGTTGACTGGAGCTTCTGGTGGTGTCAGCTCAGACACAGCATCTTCTCCACATGTCTGTCCTTGCAGTCCAGAATGCTTCAGACAAGAAAAAGCAGGATGGGTCAGGTTTACCCAGCAAGTTGTGCCAGACTGAGAGGTGGGACCTTGTGTCCTGTGGAAGTCAGCACTTGTTCTTCTCATGAACTGCAGATGCTTCATGTCCTCTTTGTGTTTTCAGCCTCTCCAAGCTGCAGTTGAAGACTGGAGATTTAGACCCGCGTCTGTTTTCCCGTCTGAGGCATCTCCAGAAATTAGATCTCTCTGATAATTTACTGGACAAATTTCCCAACAGTCTAACCCTGCCTGATCTGCGTGTCCTGAACTGCAACAACAACAAACTGGAAGATGTAACTGCTCTGAAACAGTTCCCTCTGCTCGAGGAGCTGACCTACGAGAACAACGTGTACTTGACAGTGAGTTGCCTCCCACCCCTACAAGCTGAGCATTAAATAGAGGAGGAAACAAAGAGCAGTTGTGCTGGGTTATTGTTTGTTGTTCTTAGGCAGCAAGTGTTAGGGCATCTGAGGAGCAGCCAGGCTTTTTGTGCCCCTTCACCTCTTCTTGCCACTGGTTCCTGACCTGCAGAAGGGACTTGCTCAGAGTTATTAACATCTGGGAATCTTGGCTGGATTCTTCAGGCCTGAGTCCCATCTTGGGTGGCTTGTCAGGCAGGATAAGCTCATTCTTCTGTAAAATACAGTAATGACTGTGTAGAAATGTCCTTATATGTTAGTTTGAGTGCCCCTTGTGCTCTGGAAAAGCAGACTTCATCCTCTGATAAAAGAGTTAAAATTGGTGATTAGTCTAGTTGAGATTTTCTGTCTTCTCCCCAGAGGCTCTGCTGACTGTCCAGTTTAAGCACCCAAAACTGTACTTTACCTGTACTTTAACCTGCCATCAGCCACTATCACTGTCCCCAGGTGCCTGTTTGCTGTTTCATGTTGGCAGAAATGTGTGTGTGGCTGCATAGAATCATAGAATTGGTTTGGGTTGGAAGGCCCTTAAAATTCATCTGCTTCCAAACCCCCTGCATGGGCAGGGACACCTCCCACCAGACCAGGTTGCTCCAAGCCCCATCCAACCGGCCCTTCAACACTGCCAGGGATGGGGCAGCCACAGCTTCCCTGGGCAGCCTGGGCCAGGCTCTCACCACCCTCACAGGGAAGAATTTCTTCCGGATTTCTCAACTTAATCTCCCATCTTCCAGTTTTAATCCATTCCCCCTTGTCCTCTCACTCCCTGCCCTTGTCCCAAGTCCCTCCCCAGCTTTCATGTAGCCCCTTCACTTACTGGAAGATGCTCTAAGATCTCCCTGGAGCCTTCTGGTCTCCAGGCTGAGGAGCTGGACTGGGGAGGGAGTCTGATGTAAAACACAGCTGACCCCAAGCAGGGTTGGAGGTGATGGTGTCCCTGGGGCCGGGCTGACCTTCCTCGGCCTCCAGTGCTCAGTGAAGGGATGTGGACAGAAGCCCCTGCCCTGGGGCCGGAGCAGAGGAGCCTTCTGGCACTGCCACCACCTTGTGTCCGATGTCAGTACTGCCTGAATGCGAGGCAGCTCTTTTGGCTGCAGATTAAGATCCCAGCTTTTAGGAGAGGGTTAATTTACAACTCAAAGTTGGTATTTGAGGGCGAAACACTGAGATTTTATGAAGTGACTTTTCCTGACTAAACACCTTCTTCTCCTCCATGGTTATATTTTAAATAAAGGACCAAAGCTGAAGCAAGGGTCACTAGGATGTTGAAGGGACTGGAGCATCTACCATATGAGGGAAGGCTGAGGGAGCTGGGTTTGTTCAGCTTGGAGAAAAGGCTTATAAATATCTACAGGGGGTGTCAGGAGGTGGGGCCAGACTCCTTTCCATAGTGTCCAGTGACAGAACAAGGGATAGTGGGCACAGACTGGAACACAGGAGGTTTAACCTGAATATAATAAAATATTTCTTTACTCTGAGAGTGACAGAGCCCTGGGACAGGCTGCCCAGGTAGGTTGTGGATTCTCCATCCCTGGAGACATTCCAAACCTGTCTGGATGTGTTCCCATGGGATCTGCTCTAGGGAATCCTGCTTTGACAGGATGTTGGACTAGATGATCTCCAGAGGTGCCTTCCAACCCTGACCATCCTGTGAAGTACCAGCTGCACGATTTTTGTAACTCTGCTCTCTCCTCTTCTCAGCTCAATGATGAC